CCCTCCATCCCTTGTCCAAAGCCCCTCTCCAGGTCTCCTGGAGCCCCTTTAAGCACTGGAGCTGCTCTAAGGTGTCCCCTTGAGGAACCTTCTCTTCTCCAGCTGCCCCAGCCCAGCTCTCTCAGCCTGGCTCCAGAGCAGAGCTGCTTCAGCCCTCGCAGCATCTTCATGGCCCTAACCTTAAACAGACCTACCCACTTTCATCCTATTTCTTGTGTACTTTCAAATCACTCTGAAGGTTCATAACCTTGGAGGAGGGTGCAGAGAGAGAACATGCAATATCCAGGATTACCAACTCTGGTGTAGGGTGTCGAGGACAGCTTTAAGCACTATAACTGTTAGCTGTGGAGCTCCATCCAGCAGGTCGTGATGGAGACAAGCATTAGTGTAATGCCTCCACACAGAGCTGGATGAAAGTGCAGACAACTCAAGTCCTGAGAATCAAGCAAGAAATAAGTTAGTCAAGACACGTGGATCTGGAGATGGATGGAGGAGGCTGTTACTCTGTATATTTGCTACGTGGTATGATTCATTACAGCAAATCCACTGTGCTTCTCTGATTCATCACTCCTGGCTGGGGGGCTAAGCTGTTTGGAGGGATAAATGATTGCTACTAAACCAGCTTTGCAAAATTAGTGAATGAATGTACCGAGCCTGGCTTAAAACCTTCTCAAGTGCTATTTTCCAAGACAATAAAGAAAAGATTACTGCTAATTCACTCCCATAGCCAAAAACCAGAGAGTCCCACTGGGCTGGCAGGTAACTTGAATTTTATGCGGCTCCATTAATACTTTTGATCTGGGTTTGATTTATGTCCAGCAATTATGTGAGTCTGCAGATAGAAGATTATGCTTAGAGCTTTTGGGATAATAAGGAGTTAAATTAAGGAAGCTCATAGTCTTGGCACCTCTGTTATTTTGCTGGGCAACAACATGTCACCAGGCTCTGATCCGACCCAGTTGAGAAGTCACCATGACTGGGCACTCAGCTGCACACACAAAAGGCAACGGCTGGTGGGTCTCATGCAAAGGAAGTTTTATGTGCTTGATTTGCAAGCCAGAGAGGATTTGGGGGTGATTTTGTGTCTTCAACCCCTCTCTAATCTGTGGCTGTGCTTAGTAACTGTGATCCGAGCCTGCAAGCTCGGTTTCCAAACCAAATAGAGAATTTTTAACACATGGGTTTAAAACTGTGTGCACAGACTTAGTTGATTAAATAAAAGGATTTCTGTATATATACACTCACTCGTATATCTGTACATCTGCACACACATTTGATACGTCTGGAACATGTAAAACTTTCAATTGAGTAAAGACACAAAATCCCTTCTAGTTTGAGGTGGCAGAGACTAATAATAATAAGAAATAATAGCAAAAATTATAAAAGCTCACAGCCAAAAATCCAGAAGAACCAGGACAGTGGAGAAAAGACAACTGGTTTATACTCTTCTCTTCTAGTTTCTGGTGAGTGAGCTCTCCCTGGGCAGTGGGGTTGGAACTAGATGGTCTTAAGGTCATTTCCAACCCAAACTATTCTGTGATTCTGTGATATCAGTAAGACTTAATGTGAAGCTGACTTTTGGGGAAAGGGTATTTCTTTAAAGCAGAAAGGAGGAGCTGTCTTGTAAGTGGATGTGTGACTTCAGAAGAGATCCCCTGTGCGTTCAAGAAAACTCAACCACCCAAAGCAGATCTTATGAAAATGGCAAAATGTGGTTTTGCACCATAAAGTTTCCCATTAGAAATTTCCCATTGCAGCAGATGGTTTCAGACAGCGGGAACTTGAGATACTCTGCAAAACTCAAGGTCAGATGTTGTCCTTAACATGGATCAGTCTGTACAGGCATTACTTGAAAGAAAGACCATAAAGAACCTCTCAGAAAAATGTCACAGAATGTAGGAGCATCTGCCTGAAGATACGAGTGTGACAATCTCTTTAATCTCTTTGACAGAACTTGTGTCTCGTGACTTCAAATTTACAAGCTTCTTTGTCACATAGGCTCTGTTTAAACTAGTAAGTACTTCACCCAGGTCTAATTTAGATGAGATATTAGGAAGAATTTCTTCCCTGTGAGGGTGCTGAGGCACTGGCACAGGGTGCCCAGAGAAGCTGTGGCTGCCCCATCCCTGGCAGTGTTCAAGGCCACGTTGGACACAGGGGCTTGGAGCAACCTGCTCTAGTGGAAGGTGTCCCTGCCCGTGGCAGGGGGTTGGAGCTGGATGCAATTTAAGGTGCCTTCCAACACAAACCAGTCTGGGATTCTATGATTCCATTCTTTTGTCCTGAAGCCAGCAAGCATACATGATGCTCATGTGTACCACAAGTGATCTTTCCTCCTTCAAAGCCAGTTTAGCTTCATCTATCCGTCTTGTTGGGAGCACTCCCTAACCTTTGCTATCCCTTAAACCATAACCAGCCATTGACTGGGGTACTACTAACAGCTTATCAGCAGCTATGGCCACCAGCCAACATCTGATCTTCTGTCCTGGCCATTTGGTTTATCAGTGTGGATTTAACTGGAGGGGTTGAAGCACAGTCCCAGTTAGCCATGGCCAGCTCACTGAAATGTGGTAGCTGTCCTGCTGAGCAGAGAATGTATTTGCATTCACTCCTACCCTCCTCTGATTAATAATGGAAGATAAATGAGGAACACGGAAACCAAAGGTCAGGAATGGGGGTGAACTGTTGGCCAATACAAGCTTCTTCCTTACAGTGTGTTTATTCTCTGGTGTTTTCTCATCTGTAATGCACTTGTTTCACCTTTCAAGTATGTGTAGGTTTACCTGGAGGCAGGAAAGGGATTCTGAGCTTTCTTTTCCCAATCCCACTGTTTTCCACATGACCTCCCTTTCTCAGCAGAGCACTCCAGGAAGTAAATTGCAGCCTGGACAGTTTCCAAGGGGAATTATAGAGGCAGGTGCTGAAACCGCTGAGAGCACTCCTCACCCCAGGAAACCCTCAGGAATAGGGGTGTCCATTGATGACATTTCCTCATCCTGTGCTTTCTTGGATAACTATTCCCACTTCAACCCTTGCATCACGTTGCCTCCACTGCTGTAAAGGGAGAGCTCACCCTGGTAGAGCAATGCTGTTTCTAGCTGGGACGGTCAAACCTGCCAGTGGTGGACCTTTCCCCTATACACAGCATGCAAAGCCAACCCATGCAGCAGCTCCTTCTGAAGCCTAGGAATGCTCCTTCACAGTTTCCTTCCTCCTTCTCCTCCTCTCCCTAAAGTCCCACAAAAAACACTGCTGGCTGCAGCTGGAAGAGGCAAGGGAAAGGAAAGAAGGTTGTTTCTGAAAGCTATTTTCTTCAGGTGACAGTGATTGCAGTGAATCCATCCACATCTCCCCATCATAAGCTGGGGTGAGATAGACGTTATAAAAGTGAGAAAATCCACCAGGAGATGGTTGTGGCTTTTGTGAATTGGGTTTCTCAGAGATTGGTCCTTGTCTAAGCAAAGGGACACAGTGACTGGAAATCTCTGTTCTGCCATATGTTGGATCTGACACACACAGCCTGAGTCACCAGATGGAAACCAAGCAAATGCCTTGTGCACACCAAAGCTGAAGACTTTGGCTGTGACATGGTCTAGGGTGAGGCATCCCTACCCATGGCAGGGGGTTGGAACTGGATGAGCTTCAGGTCCTTTCAAAACCAAACCATTCTGTGACTGATTCTTCTAGATGCTGTTGGCTCGGGTTCTCTGGCAGCACTGAAGTGTCTTCACTGAGGCAGCATAATCTTATTCAGGGCGATGTTTTTATAGCGGGTTTACTATGCAAGATGTGACTACAGACTTGAACCAAGGTAGCAGTGAATCCTCGAGAGGTGCTTGCGCAGGGTAGTATCTATGAGGGGTTTTTGGACTCCTTTCCTTTAGTGATTTAAGAGATAGAGCCTGTGGACCATTCCAAAGAGTCCCTGTTAAATTTCCCACTCTTCTTCTCATTACTGAAGATCGTGATTACTGAGTCCTGACAATGAAAAACACCCAAATGTTGCTTGATCTGATAGATTTAGCAAGAATGTGGCTTTACTTCTTTTCTTATGAATGAATGAATGAAAAATTACTTACTTTGGTTTGTTTTCCCTTCCTATGGGACTGTGAGATGTGGTCAGATAATTTACAATCAACATCTAGCAATACAGATAACCCATTGCTGCTGCAATCAGTCCTGATATTTGTTGTCTGGGCTTAAGCTTTTCTTCCATTTCTTATTCTCTAGTGGCAACACACCCATTGCAGTGTGGGGAACTCACCTGGACCTCATCCAAAACCCTCAGATCCGGGCAAAGCACGGTGGAAAGGAACATGTCAATGTGAGTATGACTGCTGAACTGGGGAGGGGACAAGTTCAGGGTGGTCATAGAGGCTGGCTAACAGCTCTGGAGGCTGAAATCTCCTATTGGATCCAGAAAAGACAGCATGGCTTGCTTTCAGAAGGATTATTCCTTCATGAGGGGTAATCTTCTCTCTCCAGGAAGGAGCACTGGACCAAAGAGGGAACAGAGAGAGGTGTCATGAAGGATTGTTCAGCTCCTAGTCTCTGCTGAGCCTGTGTCTTCTGTTGGCTCAGGATACCTGTCTTACCTCTTGGCCCATGTATAACCTATGTTATTTATCAGCCATACCTGTGCATAAGTAGACCTCTACTCAGATTATTAGCTGAGTGTGCTGGGATCAGAAGAGACTGTGATTAACACTCTTTGGTACTATTGTGTCCACTCCCTGAACTATTTGGGGTCCTGGCCAGCAGAGCTTGACCAAGGTTTGGGAGGACAATTCATTCAAAAGGAGACAGTTACCAGTTGCTGCTGAGCAGCTCCAGATAGAGCTCTAAAAGGCGTGAGTTTAGCACCTCCAATTAGGAGAGTCGGGAGCAGGCAGCACTTGCTGGTTCCTACAGTAGGTTGGAGGATGGGGCCATGCAACAGGAGAGGTTTAAACAGGGGAGATTCTGGACCTTAAACAAGGGAGATTTAAGTTAGATATGAGGCAGAAGATCTTCCCTGTGAGGGTGCTAAGGCGCTGGCACAGGGTGCCCAGAGAAGCTGTGGCTGACCCCTCCCTAGGCCAGGTTGGACACAGGGGCTTGGAGCAACCGGCTCTAGTGGAAGGTGTCCTTGCCTGTGGCAGGGGCTTGGAATTGGATGAGCTTTAAGGTCCCCTCATCCCTTCCAACCCAAACCATTCTTTGACTCTATGATTCTAACAGCATCCTAAAAGGTGTTGGCTGTGCATGGGCGCTTCCTGGGACCAAGCACGAAAGAGCATCCCAGAAGAAGAGGCTTCAAAAATAGAAAACAGAGGGATTCTCAGATTTTAAGATTAATCCATGGACTTTCCACCCAAGGTTCTCAAAGCACTTTGTGAGCATCAAAATAACCTACTGCCACATGAACAGTGGTGAAACTGAGGTAGACCCGGAAACAAAATACAGGAGTACCTGAGGCAGATTCATTTGCATCTGCAGTTTGCAGACTAAGACACCTAAAGTTTGGTCTTATCCCTGCTCTGCTATGAACTTGTATCTCCCAAATCCAAAGCAATTTTGTTGCCTCTCACACACTATCAGATTCAGGAAATATCTGTTGAGATTGGTTTCTGGGTCTGCTGTGAATCTTGACTGACAATCTCCTTCCCAGTCCATCATGAACTGATTATGCATATTCATAGGTATCCTTTAGAATGTGTTGTATTTCTTGCTTTCCTTTAACACTTCTCCAGCTTTCCCGCTGAACTAGAAGCCTGCGTGACTTCACCTTATTCTTCCAGCAGACTCCAGCTCTTGCCTGACACAGTGCTCTCAAACAATCATGCCATTGTGCAGATGATGAAGCCTATTCATCATCTTACACTTGCTCATGTAGAATTGCCCATCAGTTTTGTGCTGGGAAGTGCTCTGGTGCCTATTCTTCCTTGTAAGAGCTGTTACAGCAAAGAACATCTGACTGACTTACTTTACAATATGAAACTAACTGGTCCAACTCACTTATCTCTCTATTGATTTGAACCAAAGACATGTTAACTGTGATAATGAGTGTGCTCTCAGTGCTGGAGGTATCAGACTAGCTTGGAGAAGACTATCACATCAAGCACAGCTAGGATCCTACAGGGCTGATGCTGTTTCCAACAGAGCCTGTTGGTTCATGGTGAGACCAGGATGCATTGTGCTAGCTGCCACAGTATAGAAAGATGAAAGCTCAGATCCTGAAGGAGAACCAGATGTCTAATTCCTAGTCCTTTAACGTGGGAGAAAGGGTAAAACACCTTTCACAATCTATTACCCATTTCTCAAATACACAAAAAAGCAGGTCTTTGGCAGGGCTGGAACCAAACTTCAGTGTCTCCTGAGACCTACCATGTTGTCTTCATCTCTCCAGCTTCCTGGGCTTCATTTGAGGTAACCTGATGTTCAAACAGGAACCTTGGGCACCGCTGAGATACGCACTCACATAGTGTAGTGTATGCACCACACATACGCTTTTGGAATGATCCCCAGAGTGCGTGAACTAGTTGCAGGGTGGTAGTAAGACTTTCACTAGTCTCTGCTATACATAAACCAGGAAGACATTTGTATTTCCAGAAGGAGATGAGGTTAGGGGGAGATGCTGACACTGGCAAGCCCAGAGGCTGTGCTCCCTCAGGGCAGAGGAGCACAGGATGCCCGATTGCAGTGCAAACTTCTCCACGCACCTACCCCAGCAAAGCTTTCCTAAATCTTTCCCAGCCTGGACTGTGTGATGAGTATGGGGTATGTTTTAAGCAGTGGAGCACCAAGCTGTCTCATGCTAACCGAGGGGGTCCTCGCTGTCGTCTGGCTGTACATAAGCTAGCATTTCTCAGGGAGGTATCTGCCCACCAGGAGGGATGGGGGCATTTTCTATAAGCCCTCTTTGCACTGGTTTTCTTTCTTCAGAACTGTGAGGTGCAGAACAGCACAGAGATGACCTGCCAGGCTCCAGCCCTGGCTGTTGACCCCAATCACCAGTCTGAGCTCGCCGAGCGTCCAGAGGAGTTTGGCTTCATTCTTGACAACGTGCAGTCCCTGCTGATACTCAATAAAACCAACTTCACCTACTACCCAAACCCTATCTTTGAGGTTTTCAATCCCTCAGGGATCCTGGAGCTGAAGCCAGGAAGCCCCATCATACTGAAGGTGAGCTGGGGACCAAGGGCTGGGTGACAAAGGACAAACGCATGCTGTCTGTTGCCTCTCTGTGTCTGCCAGCACCCTGCAAATCATAGTGGTATCCTGATTGCATCCCAGAAATTCCCTTTACTCATTGCACCTACCATATCACATCATATCAGAGTCACCATCTGCAGACACCAGTCACTGCTCAGCATCTGCCAATACCCATAGCTAAAATAGATAAACTCCTGCTGTCTTTAGCTATGTGCAGTCTAAATTTGTACTCACTGCTGTTCACCATAGAAGAACTGCAACAAGGCTGGCCATAGATACCCGAATCTACTTCTTTCTTGGGTTTTCAAGACTTTCCTCTCACCCCTGTTTAATTCCTACACCAGCCCTTTGTCATTTCTTAATCTGGACAGCAATATAGAGAAGGAACTTTATGATTAAGCATTTTTGTATTGGCACATGTACATGGTACGTATGCAAAGAAACAATTGTGTCTACAGAATAACTTCTTGCATGTTTGGAAAAGGGTCTGTCTTACTTGCTTGAATATGTTCCTGTTTGTGCAAGACTTCTGTACAACATTTCTCATTTAGTTCTTAAAAGAGAGCAGCAAGACAGGCTGTTTTGACTGATTACAGCCGATACCCATCCATGTTGTCCTCTGCATGACTTCCTAAATTGTCTTTTCCTCTCTGTGTTAGCAAATGGTGAACCACAAATGTCAAATGCAATGTTAACACTGGTGTCACAGGAACTAGAGGTGAAGGCAAACTCTTTCCTGATGTGTGTTTTTTTTGGGTGTGGGGTGATATTCCTTTCTATTCAGGGCAAGAACCTGATCCCACCAGTGGCAGGAGGGAATGCCAAGCTGAACTACACAGTTTTGGTTGGTGAGAAGCCCTGTGCAGTGACTGTATCAGATGTGCAGCTACTGTGTGAATCTCCAAACCTCATTGGAAGGCACAAAGTGATGGTAAGTGATGCTTGAACCCCAGCCTTCCCTCCCTGGGTGGGTTGGGAGGGCACACCAGTGCTGAAGAGCTGGCAGAGGTCTCTGAGGAGTTTGCATCACTGTTTGCCTTCTGTAGATCACATAAGCATCAGGGTCCCATCTTGATATAATATCCTCATCAAGAGTAATTTAGAAAAGCAGAGGAGTAACCTGAAGATCTTTATGGATAGTGAGAAACATTTCAGAATCAAAACCCTTTAGGAACGTTTGCCTCTCTTCTGGTTTCATACATACTGGATGAACCCTAGATGCTCATGTGAGTTCATGCATGTAACATGTTCTGTATGTCACATACTTTGTTAAATTCAGCAGTCCCCAGCAATTACAAAAATGCTGGTGGCTAAAATTTGCCTTTATGTAGGAATAAAAACAAAAAAAGCAGTATATGGACTATAGTGTGACTTGGCTTTGAGGTTTTGATATCTATAAAAATTAAGATACTCCTGCATATCGTTAGAGGAACCTGTGAAAAATGGACTTAGTGATTACATCAGAAGGAGCTTCTTCTCCTCTCACCACTGATTTATTCACTTCTCCTTTACTCTCCTCTCAGTAATCTGCATTCCTCAGGTCTGTTGCTTGATAAACAGTGCATCAGCAAACTCATCTGAGCTGTACCGAGCTGTGGGTGGAAGCACACTAAAAGCAAACAAGCTGACATCAGACATACGAATGATCGATGTTTCTCATTCCTTGTGATCAACTTTTCCCCATCTCTCTGTTGCCCTCCTAAAGCTGTATCTGTCACATATTTATTTATTGCAATGCAGTGAGACTCAGGGAGGTTGATAGAGACACACTCTTTAAAAAGAGAGTTTTCTGGGAACTTGTAGAAGATAGAGTTTGTGGTGACCCTTTTGGGTCTTGTTTGTGACTGCTGCTGGGAGACTTCATGCTGGCAACTTAACTTCTCTGTGCCAAAGTTTGTCATCTGGAAAATAGAGCTAATAATAGTCCTTTTCAGCCATGCAAATATACCTTGGCTCTTGATTCATTGTAAAGAACATTAAGACACTCCAAGAAGAGCAATAAAGAAGTGATGGGATTTTCTCTATGTGAATACCAAAGCTTTTTGAACAAGGCAATATATGTTCCCTGTCATTTTCATGAATATAATTAAGCATATGGTTAGTCAGAGATGGACAAAGTCAGTCCTAGAGAGAGAAAACTCAAACTCAGGTGAGCAATAATCAACCCCTGGGGATCAGGGAGGATGAACACTGGTCAGGTCTTAGTAATGGGGAAGACTCCTTTGCTCCTGCAGCTTAGGACTGCTTAACTGAAGTCATTGAGGAAAAATCATAGAATCGTAAAACCATGGAATGGTTTGGGTTGGAAAGGACCTTAAGATCATCCAGTTCCAATAGCAGGGACACCTCACACTAGACCATGTCACTCAAGGCTCTGTCCAGCCTGGCCTTGAACACTGCCAGGGATGGGGCAGCCACAGCTTCTCTGGGCACCCTGTGCCAGCACCTCAGCACCCTCACAGGGAAGAGCTTCCTTATCTCCAACGTGAATTTTCCCTGTTTCAGTTTAAGCCCATCACCCCTTGTCCTATCACCACAGTCCCTGATGAAGAGAAAATAATTCCTTTTTGAGGATGCTGATCAAACAAGGGATGTTGCTGCAAGCACGGGAAGATGATCCTTTTGAAGCCTGTTCATAAGCATCAGTACTAGGGCAAGTTAAAGATTTCTTGTGTAACTGCCAACACTGAGGCAATGCTCTGACAGCGTCTGGGCTGGGAACCAAATACAGAAGGTCACCTGCAATGGAGGCCAGCGCTCAAAGATGGGCTTTGCATGAGGGACTTAACAGGGGGACAGCTGGGCTGGGAAATGCCTCCTCCAGTATTGCACAGCATCGGTGTTGCTTGGATTGGTACAAAATATATCCCTGTGTTTCACACGAATGTCACTTTGATGGTTAGGATAATTGACAGGTAGTTCTCCCAAGTCCTCCTTCTGTTTCTGCCAATGATTTACTGTGTGACCTTGTGTAAATTGCTGAGTAAATCATTTCTTGCAAAGCGAGGTGGCCAAAATCTGAGAGGGGACCATGGGATTGCATCAACCATTGCAACACTGAGATTATTTCTAAGGGAAGAATAGTGACAATGGCACACATTGATGTCAACATGGTTTTGATCTAGTTCAGCTGTCCTTTATACAGTGACAGTGTTAAATACTTGACAAAAAAGAAAAGAACTGAAAGGCCTGAGCAATTGTTAAAAAAGATTGACTAAAACTCAGAGGCAAGCTCTTTTCCAAGGAAAAGAAGAGACATAAAGAAGAACCGTAAGTAACTATGTTGGAGAAGGTCTGCAACGAAGAAGTCCAGTACATCTGAAGGGTTGCTGGTATCTAATGTAGGCACTTACATATTGAAAGTCACCCTGGACGTTTTGTATAGTGAATGGAGAGATGGTCAAATACATGAGCTGAAGTTCAGGGCACATTTCCGTGTCATCCTAAGGTAGATACTTACCTTCGGCTGAGGCAAACTTGCACTAGGAAAGGCTCTACCACAGTTAGGTGTTGCACAACAAGAACTCCTGGACTGCTACGGGCGGACCCTAAGAGTTTGCTGGGAAAAATGTGGTCTCTGCCATAGTATCATTTAGAACATATTCATGATTAATAGGCTTAGCATGCGGCCAAACTGTTGTTTGGTGACATCAGAGCTCATGTTCAGTCTTCTGGAAGGTATAAATAGCTTTCTTCAGAAAAACCTAGTATCCAAGCAATAAAATAGGGCTATACCTACATATTTGCTTGTTTTAATTCTAAATGCTTCAGGCTTTCTTCTTCAAGAGACAGATTCCCTCAGATCATGGTAGTTTGATTCATGGACTCTGAGACCTTCCCAGTGTTGAAACCACCTTTAGAGAGGAGCACACTGGGGCTAACTTTGTTAGACATCTACCTCTAGGAGTCTAGATCCCCTTATAGTTAATGGAAAGAAATGGGAACTTCAGTGAATAAAATGTCTCATCCTAATGTCAAAGGAGGTTTCAAAAGCAGCTCACATAAATCAAACTCTAAAAGTGCTTTTTCTCTGTATTGACTCTGAAAACCTAACTGTAACATCGAACTCAGATGTCCATGTCTAATGTTTGGTAAGAGGAATCCCACCCATTGAGATGGGCTGTTCAGTGGGCTTTGAGGACAGACCTGCACTGGGGATTGTGATGGGGTTGTTTGATTCTAGTTTGATACTCCTTGAATGGACTCGTCTCACTGCAGGGCTTGGAGGTAAAGGGCCACTGCTGGAAACAGAAAACGAAATATCATGAATCTATTTATTGATCCACTGTGATAGGAAGAAATTGTGCAACCTGGTGAGCTGGGAGGATTTGGGACAATAGTCTAGGGCAAAAGGCAACAGTTTTTATTGCACAGATTACCATGTGAATGTGGCAATTTGTCTTCTCGTAGGATCATAAGTTTGGGCCAGAAAGGATCTTAAAAATCATCCAGTTCCAACCCCCTGCCACGGGCAGGGACACCTTACACTAGAGCAGGTTGCTCCAAGCCCCTGTGTCCAACCTGGCCTTGAGCACTGCCAGGGATGGGGCAGCCACAGCTTCTCTGGGTACCCTGTGCCAGCGCCTCAGCACCCTCACAGGGAAGAACTTCTGCCTTATCTCCAACCTGAACTTCCCCTGAAGTTGATCGGTTGGTCATGCCACCTGCCAATACCAAACCTCTGCCCTATGCAGGCTTTATAAGTGAGGTGGGCCTTGTATCTTGAAATAGATTGGGAAAACTAGTTACCACTGCATCCTCAAGTTACCTGGGTGCTAGGTTGTTCTTTGGCCACTGAAGATGCTCTATAAGTCATCAATGTCATACTACAGGAATGATCATCTTGAAACTTTATTACCTGGTCAGATGAGTTTAAGTTTGGTTTCGTTTCTCATTGTGGACATTGTTATCTCTCTAGATCCCATCCCAAAATGGCATAAGAGGATCTTGTAAACAGAGTTTTTCCAGACATTCACTTTTGTTCTGTCCAAGACATAAGGGTTACAGCTATTTGGCTTTGGCCAAGACCCACTGAGGAACAAAACCAGACAAAACAGACATCTTAAACTGAAAGACATCTTAAACAGACATTTAACTGAAAGAGGCTGGAATTTAGTTATTAGGAATAAGTTCTTTACTGTGAGCCTGGTGAAGTACTAGCACAGGGTGCCCAGAGAAGCTGTGGCTGCCCCATCCCTGGCAGTGTTCAAGGCCAGGTTGGACACAGGGGCTTGGAGCAACCTGCTCTAGTGGAAGGTGTCCCTGCCCGTGGCAGGGCTTGGAACTGGATGAGCTTTAACGTCCCTTCCAACCCAAACCATTCTTTGATTCTATGACATTCACAGTGCCTGCTATGCCTCTCTATGAAAAAGCTAAGCTGGGGTGAAGCGATGGGGCTCATCACCAAGTCATGGTCCTTCAAGCTCTTTTCAGGGTATCTTCCTAGCTTTATATTAATCTATAACCAGTGTTCCCCAACCACAACACAGTCTTAGAAGCCTTCTTTCATACCTTAGGCTAGTCAGCAGTGTTTTTCCCCTGCCACTCAAACTTGTTCTACTCTACAGATAGTCCTGAACAACCTTGTAGTAGCCTTGAGCCAGTAGTACCCTGTAGAATTACTGCTGGGAATGGTGTTTATGCTGTAAAAATGGGCTCCTAACAGATTTATTTCAGCAAAGTATTTTGTTGGGCTTGCATCAATACCACTTTCAGGGTTTATTCTGGCTGTTAAGAACAAGGTTCTTGCACAGCAGCTTATTCCAGAGGCTGGCAGCAGCACTGGGAATCTCTGAGAGGGCACTGAGGGTAGATAGCTGTATTCAACTCCCTGTCCCATTGGTGAGCATTTGCAGTTGCCCTGCCAATGTATTGTTAGAAGATGGGCTGTAAAGAGCATGGACCAGGCTCTGTGGGATTTGTTTGGATTCTTTTGTTGGTTTGGTTTTTTCTACCCCAGTGTCTTCCAGATACAGTTTTCTCTTGTTGAAGGGTCAGAAGCAAATTGTGAGTGATTTTCTGCATTGACTGCTACTGTGCTGGCTGGGTCAGATGTCCCCTGTCCCACTGTGAGGTTAGGACCCATTAGACCATAGCTATGAGCTGTGTGTCCTTTGCACATTTTGGGACTAAGTGTCATCAGACTAGTCCAGCACAATATAGCTGTCCAGGACATGGAAAACCCAGAATGAAGCCCAAGCTGGTATGTAGCCATGGCATTAGGAGTAGTGAGATTTATCTCACCACTAGTCCTTTGTTGGTTGTGTTCATGGATAGTCTGTCTATAGAGGTGCTTCTATATGACATTCCAGGTGGTTTTAAGCTGGTCTCTATCCAAATACTTCATGATTTGTTTAGATTGGAAGACAAGGTCATCATTCAGCCCTAGTCAGGGAGATAGAATCATAGAATGGTTTGGGTTGAAAAGGGCCTTAAGGTCATCTAGATCCAACCCCTTGCCACAGACAGGGACACCTTCCACTAGAGCAGGTTGCTCCAAGCCTCATCCAACCTGGCCTTGAACACTGCCAGGGATGGGGCAGCCACAGCTTCTCTGGGCACCCTGTGCCAGTGTCTCAGCACCCTCACAGGGAAGAGCTTCTGCGTTATATCTAACCTGAATCTCCCCTGTTTCAGTTTAAACCCATCACCCCTTGTCCTATCACTACAGTCCCTGACGAAGAGTTTTTCTCTGACGTCCTTGTAGGATGTAGATGTGGATGATGGAGTTCCTCTGTGCTCCTGCTTGTTGAACAGTTTCAATGCAACTCTTGCCTGCCTTCCCTCTAGGCTCGTGTAGGAGGGATGGAGTTCTCCCCAGGGATGGTCTACATCTCTCCAGACAGCCCTCTCAGCTTGCCAGCTATTGTCAGCATTGCGGTGGCCGGTGGCCTGCTCATCATCTTCATCGTGGCTGTGCTGATCGCGTACAAGCGCAAATCCAGAGAAAGCGACCTCACCCTCAAGCGTCTGCAGATGCAGATGGACAACCTGGAGTCCAGGGTGGCACTGGAGTGCAAAGAAGGTAGGATGAGGAAGAAAGGCTGACGCTGTGTCAGCGCTGGTAGAAGAGAGGGATCCAGCCATAAAGCTTTGAACCAAAGTATTATGAGCAAAAGGAGTGTTGAACACTGTGGGTATGGCGCAAGCCTGGATCTCCCCTGGCTTAGCCTATTTTCCTTTAGTTCTGCCTTCCTCCACCCAGTCCTAACTGCATTTACTAACTCAAAAGTCCACAGAGTACCTTGGCATGTGTCCCTGTGGAAAGGCTGTGTTATAAGATATGTGAGACTGCTCTTGTCCACCTTCTTCTTCCTCTCCATGTGATGCTTCTCCATTTGTACTTTAGTCCCATGCACATGGGTCTGAGGGCCTCTCCCATCATGATGAGGGAGATCTGGACTATAATTGTTACATAAGTCCTTCCTTTTTGTGTCAGCCTTTGCAGAGCTACAGACAGATATTCACGAGCTCACAAGTGATCTGGATGGAGCTGGGATTCCTTTCCTTGATTATCGAACATACACCATGAGGGTGCTTTTCCCTGGCATTGAAGATCATCCAGTCCTGAGGGATCTGGAGGTAAGAAATCAACATCTACTTCTGGTTCCTCTCGTGCCTCCCTGTTCTGTCCTGAATTCAAGAGATGTGTCAGTGGGGGAGATACGATGGCTTACAACACTGTGTCCTACCATGGACAGAACAACCCCTCATTAAACATCTAGGCTGAAAGGGGATGATGATTTCTGCTATCTCAGATTTTCAGTTCTATCCAGTCACTCATCTGTCTGGAAGAGTCTCACATATCTGTGTGCATTAGGGCTACTCTATTAATCTTCTCCTTGGTCTCCAGGAGATTTGGGGTTTTAGACTCGATTTATTAGTTACTGCTATGCCAGAGCCAGGACAAAGACTTGTATGGCAGAGCAGCATAGGTGCCTGTGTCACTCCAGCTTTGCATGACATTCACACTACCAAGAGGCCTTTTCCTGTGGCAACACCTATAGAAATGACCTGCTGTCACTGGAGGAGGTTCACCTTTGCTGTGCTCTGTGGTTTGCAGTGGGGACAGAAAATCACTGCATCGGTCTGCCCATATCCTGCCCACTTCTGCCTCCTGCACCTCAACTCTCCAGACCACAGCAGTGGGAAGACAGTGAGACATTGCCCAGCACTGCTGGGGTCTACACACAGCCTGCATGACCCCACTGGTGTCAATGAGTATGATAGGACCCTGAGTGATGTCTGCCCATGCTGCAGAACAGCTTCCTGCTTTGGCAGTTGGACAGGCTCTGCTCTAGGGATACCTGGGCTAGAGAAGCAGAGGATACGCCATGGCCAAGGCCAAAGAGGTCATTGGATGAGCTGTCTGCAAACTCTTTGGCAAGCTCTGAGCTTCAGAGAGGCTCTGGCATGGGCTGGTGAGATTGCTGGAGGCCAAGACTGGGGTTAGTTGGCAGGAAGGAGAAGCAGGAGCTGGCGCAGGCAATGCCATGCTTGGCTGGCTGTGTAATAAGAGGTGCCTGCTCGTCTTTGCTCCTTCCCTTCAGGGGAGCCAAAATACATCAAACTGTATGGAAAGAACCATTAAAAACCCTGATCCATCTGCAAGGAGGACTTGTGGGATTGGGTAGGAGGCTGAATTACACATTGAATCCTGTGTATATTTGCCTTCGGGGTGCTGGTATAATGGTCTCAAGCTGCTTTCCCTCAGGAAGAGTAGCTCAGCAGCTTCAACACATAAGCACAATAGACAAGGGGTGATGAATCTCTCTCACGTATGTATACACACACACAAACACTTTCATTATACTCACAGACTATTTCAATCCCTATATTCATTAACCTCAGCCAGCTGACCAAAGAACAGCATCTGACCCCTACAGAGCTTTTACCATGGATGCTCCCCCATGCAGATACATAGAGATACACAGAGCTAATGTTTCAACCTGCCACCTTTGATCTCTTCTTCCTTTCATTTCATTAATCCTTTTTTTTCCCTTAATCCTCTGCAAAGCTTCAACAGCTCTTTCAGTGTCAACATCATTGGCTACCAACATATCAGGGAAAGCAGTTCCCATTCTTCTCCCTTCTCTGTAGGATCTAGAAGGAGCTACTATTTATTGCAAAAGGCCCTGGCACTCATCTCGCAGTAAACAGGTCTTACTTCTTTCCACTTCATTTGCTAATGAACTGCTTCCAGATGCAGTACAAAACACTTCTCTTGTTATTCCTTTTTTAATTCTTCATAATAACCCGGGGATAGACAATACTAAATGTTCAAGCAAGTGAGCTAAAAAATCATCACTGGCGGGATGGGAAATGGTGGTTGGTTGGTTGGTTGTCTCAAGCTATTTACTAAGTAATTGATTTGCTGTATGCAAAAAGAATTAAGAGCTCTCATTTCCAGAATGAAAAAGTAATGATTCTTTAGGGGCCTTGCATTACTTGGTTGTTCGAGCGTGCCAACTTCTTTTGGATTAAAGGGCCAAATCTAGTTGGTTAATAATACACACATAGAATCATAGAATCATAGAATGGTTTGGATTGGAAAGGACCTTAAGATCATCCAGTTCCAACCCCCTGCCATGAGCAGGGACACCTC